ACAGTAGAGACTCCTGGCAGATACTATTCTGACCAACTTATCAAAGATACCATTACCAGTATGTTATCTACACTGCTTGTCTTATTTGCAAAAATGCTGACTACATGGCATGGTGGTACATGCCTTTAATCTCAGCTCTCGGGAGCAGATGTAGGCAGGTCTCTGAGTTCCAGGCCAGCCAAAGAAAACTCAGAGTCTGTCTCCAGAACAAACAGCAAACTCAGCTCTGTGTTGTCATGAAAAGACAGAGATGGTTCTATTTTAAAGAGATACAGAACCTTATCCGAGCACCTGATTTTGAATTACAACACCCCTCTTTACTTACAATATCCTCTACTCATGGTCAACTTCAGTCCGAAATTACTACACATAAAGATTCAGGAATCATCATTTCTAAGTTTAGATCAGGCATTGTTCTGAGTCAGGAAACCTACCATCCTGTGCTATGAAATTTGTCTCTGACCATTTTATACACACTCTATATGTTGCCCCCATGTACATTCTGTATTATATATGCTGTCATTTAGTAGGCATCTTCAATGTTTTAGTTGAATGCTGTGATGATGCCATTTCTTTGTCTTTAAGTAATTATTATTTGGACTTATTAGGGCCTGCAAATCACAATGGCAAGCGTTGCCAGCAATTCTGATATGTAGAGGCAATGCTTTTTTTGAGATAGTCTCACACCGTAGGCCAGACTGGTTTCAGACTGGGCAGTCTTCTGTCCCAGTCTCCCAAAGCCTTGAGGTTACAAGTTCTTCTTTTAAAGAAAAACAAGTACAAACATAAAGGAGTATTTTCGGACACCACATTTCTGTAACTTTTTAAAAATTTTTCTTTTTATTTCTTTTTTTTTTTTTTTTTTTTTTTTTTTAATGTTCATTTGTATGAGGGTGCCAGATCCCCTGGAACTGGAGTTGTGAGCTGCCTATTATTAATCAGCTGCTAAGTGGTTGTTAAGTTGTATGGTTTAGGGAATAATGATGAGGAAAATGTCACTACATGTTAAGTAACAAACACAGCTTTTTGTGTTTGTAAATATTTTCATCAGGAGAGGTTGGTGCAACCCCACATATGTGGAACCATGACCACAGCTGCTTCTTAGCCTCAGTGCCGTCTTTAGTTTCAGGCATGCCCTGGTGATCTTTGAACATGGGAGATAGGTGCTTTTGTTTGTAAGGATTCCAGTAGCACAGTTGGTTTGTGGATTAGATGGTAGATTGTGTCTGTTAATATCTTAATTTTGCTGTCTTGTGAATGTGGGGAAATGACATGAGTTACAGGAATTACACACTCAAGTATTGGGAGATGATAGCAAAACAGTTTAGGCCTTGCTTTCAAATTGTTCAGGGAGAGCTATATCTTCTTTGTGTAGTATGCACAACTTTTTGGGAACTCCGGGCTTACATACATACATACCTACATACATCTGTGTGTGTGTGTAGTGAAACAATCCAAACAATTGTAGACAATTAATCTTACTGATTATTTTTTTCCCTATTACTTTCAATATCGAAGTCTAGGAACACAATGGGAAAGGTAATCAAAATATGTTTAAATGCTTAGAGCTTCCTGTAGTTAAAATTTCACTTTTTAAGTTCTCAGTTCTCTTTCATGGACTTAATGTGCCTTTCTTTGTCCATGATTTTAGAATATAGGAACTGATGGTTTGAAGCTATCTCCTAAAGGGAAGTTAGGCTTCCTATAAGCTGCTCGCTGCGTGGAAAGGGATGGGTGATGAAGATGAAAAAGAAGATGAAAGCCTGCTTGTGGCCCCATGCCCGTGCTTCCTGTGAACACCTGATTCCGCATTACGCCAAGAATTCATGTTTGATAGAGCCCTTAGTGTTTCCTTTAGTTTAGGAAAGCATTTCAATCCCCACATCAATTTTCTTTCTGGCCAATACAGAGAGAGATGATGCAATGTTAGACAGCCAAGGTTTGTTTTAGGTCTGCTTTTATTTGCTGGTTGTGAATTAGCCATCATGTCAAACATGTAATTGTGGAATTTCTCTGTCTCTCTCTTACACACACACACACACACACACACACACACACACAGAGAGAGAGAGAGAGAGAGAGAGAGAGAGAGAGAGAGAGAGAATGCCACAGAGTACGGTTTAATGTTTTCTTTTTATTTACTTGGGCACCTAGTCAGTGCACTCATGTTAGGTCCAAGCCATCTTTTGCCAGGAGAAAATCTTCTGGCCTTTTGTTAGCAGCCAGAAGAAATACACTAGACAGTCAAGTGCTTGGTCTGGACTAACTCTGTCTGTGCTGTCTTTCATTCTTTTTTCCAGTTGTGGTCTCAGATAATGGAAAAGAGACAGAAAAGTAGAGAAAGACTATAAAACCTCTTGTCCCCATTTTTCCCTCTGAGCTAGGCAAACTTGTCCAGGGAAATCTTTTTAGAATTCTAGCACTGTATTTACAAAATGACTAGGAGATTTTCTTATGCTTTAAAGAGTATCTCAATTTTCTGGATGTTTTGAAACAAACTATCTTGCTGTAATTTTCCCACTTTAAAAATATCTTTTTATTCTAAATAAGCAAATTCCACAAAATACATACATATTTACATTCATACTTACATACATACATTCATACATTACACACCACGCTCCACCGTGTGCACAGGGCTGTGCTTGGGAGTGGGGTATAAAGATAAAGGTAGTCAGGAGCCTGGCGTACTCAGTGCACACTGTCTGACATGGCAGACAGACAGTGACATGGTAGTTACACTGTTACCACATGCTTTCTGATGCCTTATCACCAAGAAGTACATGTGACTCTCACATGCCTGGAATGTAGTAAATACTCAGTAATGGGATTGTTATTATTTCCTGTGTTTTTACTCTCCTCCTATTGCTAAGCACTGGTAACTGTTCCTTCAGGGAAAATCTGTAATTAGGAAAAGAAGCTAATAGCTGCTGAGCTTTAGGGGATGGGGGAGGAAAGTAGTGGGCAGGTTATGGAGTGAATTGGGAATCTAAGGCCGCAGGAAGTCCTGTGACCAGCTTCAGTTGGTATGTAAACATTTGCTGATGGATGAGGAGGGCAAGGATGATAAATAAGGAAGGGTTGTACCCATGGTCTCTGTTGGCCTGGCAGGTTCTCAGTAATTCTGGGAAATAATTTGAGTGCGTTAATAGGAGTAGATCCACATTTGCACTGTTTTGTTTCCTTTTCTCCAGATTTTCACACCGAGGCCCGTTTTTATGAAAGTTTCCTTGTAGCTCTGCCATTCCAGCTTTCTCCTCTAGACCTCATGCACTGACTGTAAAATGTCAGTGCTTACTAATTCAAAACGCAGTAACAAACATTTCTCTATTCTCTTGGCATTTAAAACCACCAAGGCATCATAACCTGTCAAAAATAGAGTTGTCTTGCAAGCTACTCCCTAGCCTTCTAGTTTGATGGCTGTTTGGTGGGTATAGCTGCTCTCCTGCCCTCGCAGGACCCCTTGGTGACAACCTTGGTTAAAATCCTCACCGTGAATCAACATCTACATCTGCTGATTTGGGGCTGTTGCTTTCTCTGTGCTTCCAAACACAACTCTGTGATAATGACAGCATTTGCCAGCACGCTTATGCAGTGACTCAGGAGACAGGGTGGCCAGCAGAGCAGCCTCTTTGTGGGAGTGGATTTTAAGAAGTGCTAATTCCATGGTGGTTTGGAGATATTAATATCGTGCTGGCAGTAGGTAAACAGGCAGCAGAGAGGCATACAGTGAGAACAGAACCAGCCACAGCATCTTTCCTTCCTTCCTCCACCATCATAGTTTTGTGCTGCTTCTTTGAAAAGTCTATTCTCCTAGGTTATATGAATAGATCCTCACACGGACGGATACTGCTTAGGCGAGCTGCTGGTGTCTCCACACTCTCTCTCACGTTTGGAGGATCACCAGTGTGTTAAGAGTTAACTACATGCTCAAGCTGTACTAAATCATAGCATATGGCACAGTTGCCTATTGCTTACTGTACCCTCTCCCTAAAGGGCAGCGAACCAGATGGTGTGAGTGGGGCCTTTGGTGTAATTATGACAGACACAAAGAAAGACATAACCACCACTCTCCCTCAATAATGTCATGTCTCTTACTTTCCAATATTTGATTTTGTTAACTTTTAAATTTTTTTTTTTTGTTTATTTTATTTTATTACATTTGGCTCTCTGTATCAAAATTCTCTTTGCAGGATGAGGAGAATCCATGCAAAAGAGCTTCACTAGTCGTTTGAATGCCACTTCCCATGCACGAGTCTCAGGATAGTAGTTGGACACAATTCACAGGGATAGGATACGTCTCATTCTGTAGGGGGCTCAGTGAATATGAGAAGTACTTGAAGTGGATTCTCACCGCTTGGAATGCTATTCCAAACCTTGTTATCTTGGGTTTTAGTTCCTTTGATTCCTCTTCCTTCCTTTGCCCCCCACCTGGTTTTCTTCTACCAGAATTCCTATTTTTTTTTTTTTTTTTTTTTTTTTTTGTCTTTCCCTCTCCCTGGTTCATTTCTGGCTCTTCTCCAAGACTTCTTAAGGTGGAAGGTCTACTGTTGGGAGCTCTGAGAATCGTCATCTCCCACAGTGTTTGTAACACTGTGCAAGTATAGTTAGGCTTCTCCTATAGGCTGGAACAGAGATGGAGAAATGTAGGTCATGCTTGTATGTGCTCATTTTTATCTTGTGTGCCTGATATTTTAGAGCAGATTTTCTTGAGGGTAGTGGCTTGTTTATAACATTCTGTAAATAGCCCAGCCTAATGTGGGCTTCTTACAGATAGTTTCTGCTGGTTTTGTATATGGGTTAATATAGATCTGATGCTACTAACAAAAAAAAAAAAAAAAAAAACTGCTGAGCTTTGTTTCATTCTCTTTACGTTCCAGCTTAGCAGCCCACCGGTCAACCTCTCCCTCCCGGGCCAGAATGCCTTGTAACCTCCAGGTGTCGTTACTGTTTCTGTTCACTGAGCCCCAGTGTTCACTGACCTCTCTTTTCTGTTGCAGAAACATTGCTGAGGCTCTTGTCAGCAAAGGTCTAGCCACAGTGATCAGATACCGGCAGGATGATGACCAGAGATCCTCACACTATGATGAGCTGCTGGCTGCAGAGGCCCGGTAAGTTGAGAAATTATTAGACATATTGAGACCCACAGCAGCACTTTTTCCTGTATCCCTCTTGGGCCTCTGCCTGAGCAGAATAAATTGGAAACAATATGCAGATAGAGCTTCAATCATTTCTATATTCCAGTCTTCCCCAGTGAGTGGAAAACGACCTTGATTATACTTAAGCATCCATTCCTCCCTCTGCCCCCATACGAAGTATATAGAATGTGACCACTCTGGGCTGACATTATAAAATGAAGGCTGGGTGTGAGTGAGCATCTCATGCCTGACAGTCATGTATGGTGATCATCACCACTTCTGGAACTATCCAGGAAGCCAGGTTTATGTGTGCAGAAACATTCGGCGCTGGGCTTTCTTGAGAGGCCTCCCCTCCTTTCCGCTCAACCCTTCTCTCCTCTCCCATTTGTCACCTCTCAACCTTTTGTTGTGTATAAAGGAAATGAAAACATTTATTAGGAAATGAGTTCTGGTTGCAAACCCTTCTGACAGCTGGCAGGAGAGCATTTGAGAAGCCCTGTGACATTTTCCTTTTGTCCTTCATCCCCGTGGCTGGTTACCCTGAGGAGAAGCAGAGCGCTCAGCTGGGTTTCTTGCCATCGACATGCCTCAAGGCTCTCGCTCTGTGGGATGTTAGTCAGGGTACTGGTAGTTCCGTGGTTTTCAAACTTGCTGGGAAGAACAGGAGTACTTCTGCAGAACTGATGTGGACATGTCAGTAGATTCCACGAAACATCTCCTTTGTGTCAGAGTGACACATGGGCTTACCTCACTTAACTCACATGGGCAATTCTCCCATAGTCTCTAGGACCTCTTTGTTAAGAAGTCTGCTCATTGTGAGAGTGTATATTCCATTACAGGAGGCTTGAGTTGGGCACAGATTACCTAGTTCTGGTTTCACACCTTGTCATTGAGATCATTTCTCTTGCTCTTTGGCCCCAAACTTTGTCCTCACACTCTATGTTTACCTCTTAACACCATGTCACATCCTGATAGAGTATCACGCAGGAGGTCAGAGGAGAAAAGAAGTCAGCCTGTTAAGACTTTAATGCTTCTCTCTTTTTTCCCAGTTGTGCAGCCTAGAAATGAATTGTTCCCTGTCTTTGCTATGATACTTACAAGTAGCCATTAAAAATGAGGCTCCCTGTGCCTATAACTCCTGTGCCTATAACTTGGTAGGTTGCGGCAAGAGTATCTTAAGTTCCAGCTTTGGCTTCACAGCAAGTTCCAGGCCAGCCTTGGCTATATGTAGATGCTATCTCAAATAATAGTAATACAGTAAAAATGTGGTATTGGTTCATAATTTGTATTTCCCTGAGGTAGGTGGTCTTCTCTCCCTTCTGGTGAACTAAAAAACACCATGATGGGAAGCGTGGATATACCTTTCTTAATATCATACAGGCTAGCCCTGTGAGAAAACAGACCTTCACCATGGTAGAATTCATGGGGTAGGTCGACAGGCAGCTTAGTCATTCTGATCTGATCGCAACTTGAAGAAGTGAAGCATTCATGGTGTGAGGACCACCAAGCCGGAACAGTGGGGTATATTTCTAGGTCTGCGTTCACTGTGTAGCAAGCAAGCACCTAATTCTACTAGGCAGGTGGGCATGGAAATAATCTGCAAAGGAGCTCGGGAAAGGGAAGCCAGAGTCAGCTCTTATTACACTGTTAGGAATAGTCGCAGTGTGAAGATTATGTGAGTATTGTTTAATGAGTATACATATATAAGGAAATTTGGGGGAGATTTAGGGTTTAAGAAGCAAACAAGCCTCTTTAGTGGAGATTTTGTGCTGAAGTAATGTAACAAGATGCTTGCTTGCTAAAGCAGTGAGCTACTCAGGGATAATTGTGTTGAGCCATTCCTTTCAGACTGATGGTAGAAAAATTGGCTCCTAGGTCCTTGCACTGTTACTGGTTGAGTAAATGGAGAGAAATTAACCACTTCCCCAAGGCCAGGAGGCATTGCCTGAAGGCAATACAGGCCCCATAAAGGATTAGGTGTAACAACCAGGGTAAGCTGGAGTAGGTTTTCCTTTGGAGCACCATTGTCAGTGATCCCTAGGATGATGGCCCCAGGCCATCTCCTGTATGCTGACTCCTCCAGCCAGGTGAAAGGAGAGTCAAGAAAGACCAGGATTCCTGCTACATGGTGATGATGGTTTTGTAGCCATTCAGAAAGACTTGACATGGAAAGTGGACTTGTTTTCTAAACAATCAAGCCAGTCTCCATCCCAAATCACCTCTCTGCTGACACTGTTTTATTTTAGCTTGCCTTCAGTTCACCCTTCCTCCCCCCATGACACCTTGTCTATGTCCCCAGCCTTGCCTCTGTTAGGAACTCACAGCTTGTCAGAGCTCTCTGTACATGCTGCACCCTGCTTGTCTGTTGAGTGTTGTCCAAGGTAAGGCATTTTCCCCTAGATGGATTAGCTGCATGTTTCTGGTTGAACTGTGTTGCGTGATTTGGTGCCCTGTCGATGAGGGCTTCTCTATCTCCTAGCTTAGAGTCCTCTGCAGATCTCATTAGTGAGTTGTTTACTCCTTTGCTGGCCCATGAATAGAACCCTCAACAAGAAAGGCTGTGGCGTTGACCCCTAGTCTCTCCCGACACAGACTGTCTTTTGTTTGCCATCCCTTCAGCCACTTTTTAATCTTCAGTGATGGTGTACTGCACTAAGACAATTTGAATTAATTTCCCAAGGAAAATTTCTTGAGCTACTATATGTAACCCTTTAGCGAAGGCCATATTAGTACCGTCTGCCGCATTCCTGTCAGTCATCCATTCTGAAGCACTGGCCTGTCACTTCCATTAGTCTCTTCCCACAGTGGTGTCCATCTCAGATTTCCTAGCTCCCGACCTTGGCTACCTTCTTTGCTTAGGTTATCACTGGTGGGATCGGCAGTGACACAGCATGCTCCTCCATTGACTTTGCTTTCCAGTGTCGTGCTTGGCCATTAATCCTTTTAGAGAAACTTTGTAAGCTTTGGGGAAAGGGCAGCCTGTTAACTTCTCTGACTTCGCGGGTCAGCCCAGCTGCCTGTCTCGGAGTTGATGAGCATTCTCCTGGCTTTTACAGCCCCTGCTTCCTCTGCAAGGGCCTCAGATCTGCCAGCCCTTCTCAGGTTATCCCTGGGAGCTCAGGCACTCACTGGGAGTCCAGGTGAGAAGGAGATGATAGACACCACCTTGCCATCAGTCAGCCAGCCAGCCAGTTGTTCCAGTGCTTTGACTTGCTTGCTTGAAACAAACTCTCCTTTGCTCTCTCTTCAGCCGGCTGACCCTTTAAGCAGCCTTTGTTCAGCTGCTTGACTGCTTATGGGCAACCTTTATTATTATGTCTCAAGTGCCTGGCCCATCTAAAGGAAGCCGCATCTCTTTGTTTATAGAATAAATAAGCCTGTTAATTCCCCAAGGTGGCCTTCCTTTCTGGCTCAGGTGTCTGTCATCAGCTACCTCCTCCCTCCCTCATTATCTTGTGTTCAAGAAAGATAAGGTTTTGGCATTTCCTGGGGGTACTCTTGGGCTGTGTTTCTCTCCTGGGCTCTGTTGAGAAGACCTTGATTTTTGTCCCAGGGTTTGACAGCTCCAAGTTGCTTGTCCTTGGAATTTTTTACAAAAATAATTAAGGTGCACCTGACCCATGGTTCTCCATGACACATTGGAATTTGTTTTCCTTTTTGAAACATCCCATCCATAGGCCCCTAGGAAGTGAACCATAATCAATTTTTTTGTCTGTATGATTCTAATGGTTAACCCCCCCCCCTCCCAGGGCAGTTAGCTTTGCTAGTCTAGACAAGGGTTCTAAACTTTAGGCAGAGCTTCTGACTCTTAGAAGTATTTCCAAGCCCCTCCCCCAAACCACTTCTCCTGAAAATGCTTTAAAAAAAAAAAAAAAAGTGTCACATATCCCATCCCCTGTATTTCCTGTGACAGCCAGTTTGATTTTGGAAAGACTAACATGAAATTTTCATCCCGTTGAGAGATGCCATCACTGTGGGCTTTTCTTGTTGACAGTGTAGCATATGCTGGCTTCAGACTCCCGAGGGCGGCCGGGAGTGGAGGTCTGCCTGTTTCCATCTGTAGAGTGCTTAGGGTTACAGGCGTGGGCCACCACACCTACCTTTCCATGTGGGCTTTTATTGAACATATTATTCACATTGACGACCAGCTGGTAATGCCTGGAGTCAGATCAAAGCCTGACTTGTCCCATGCTTTCTTTGGGTCTGTACAAATGGGGAATAACATTGATGTGGGTTCTCTCTCCTGAAGCTAATCAGCTCTTTCTTTAGAACTATAATATTCTAAACTGTACTGTGCATGTCGACCCAGAATGTCTTAAGCAGGAGGAAGGGAAGTTCAAAGCCAGTCTTGTCTACTTAGTAAGACCTTATCTCACAAAACAAGCAAACAAGCAAAGACAGTCCTGCTATGTAGTCCTGGAGAAGGGCAAGCTGGTTCCAAATTCACACAGATCTGCCTGTTTCTGTCCCTCAAATGTGGGATTAAAAGCATATACTATCATGTATAGCTTGCAACTTAATATTTTAATCATTTTGGAATCAATTAGAATCTATAGCTTATTACAGAAAAATAGAAGTTGGGACATGATACACTTAAGGTACTTTTTCATCTCAGATTTTGTGATTTTTAAAGTGTGTGTGTGTGTGTGTGTGTGTGTGTGTGTGTGTAAATTCTCCAAAAAAGAAATTGATGCCCCAACTTGACTGTGGGAAAACGATTATACTGAGCAGTTTAGTGTCTGAGCAGATTTAAAAGAGTTTAGATTCATTCTGGACATAAGAAGCAAAGTTGAGGTTATCTCGAGAGAAAAGAACAAACCTTCTCATTCCTTTTAATGTATACCTTTCTTCCTGGCCCACTGCAAGCTTGGGAAACTGGTGCTGTCCTTAGTCTCTGCGAGGCAGGCACAAACCTGCCCTTCTCCTTGCTCTGTGTGGCTCCCTCAAGAACTCATTTTTCTGACTGAGCAAAC